CCCCGCGCGGCCCGGCGGCTGGGGCGCACCCCCCTGGCCTGGTGGCCCCAGACCCGCCTGAGCTGGTGGCTGGAGGGAGGCCACACTGGAAGGAGTAGGAGGCCTGTGCATGGTTGAAAACACACTTTGATTCTGTACCTGGGGAGCGCAGTCGTTTCCCTCGGTGCCAACCCCCAATATTGGATAGTCCTTGGATGTAACGGTGATTGTGGCTTGGACCCCGCCAGCCAAATCAGGGCCTGAAAGAGCGAGTGCTAAATGTGAGGAAAACGGGAAGGAGCGTCCTGGCGGGGCCACGTGAGAATCTTAGCAGTGATTGGAAATAAACTCTTGCCCTGGAATAATCTTGACAATTGAAACTGACATGTTTACTTTTTTGTATTGATCCCTTTTTTTGCACTCCTTGTTTTCAATGTTGTATTCAGCCCCTGGTGGCGGGGACACGGCTGTGCAGCGCATACAAGACGGAGAGACAGTTTCAAGCGGACGGGCACACGTTGCCGACGGAGCACCGAGGTATCGGAGGGCGGGCCCGCCTGCCGGTCACCGCAGGCAGATTCGGCGTCCGGAGAACCGGCACCCTCGCCCTTCCCCGTTTACCGGAAAAGCTTCTGAAAACCCAGGTGTCGCCCGTGGTCGGCATCGGACAGCTTCGTGGACCAGTCAGCAGCCACGTCCGTCACTCGCTCTCCACACAAGGTGCCGCGCTCGTGCTCCGAGGTGCCCGTCTTCCGCAGCCAGGAGCCTTCGTTTCCGGGGACGCCCCGCGCCACGCCCGCAGGGCGGAGTCCCCCGCTGGTTGGAGACAGGCAGCTTTCTTGAGACTCTGCTACTCTCATCTGCCCGTGGTCCGTCCGCCGGCTCACCTGCCGCCTGTTCTAGAAGGATCACCGCCTGGCCCCGCGGTGGCCTGAGCCTCTTCATGGCTGTCCTCCCTTGGGGACTCAAGGTTCTGATAAGAAAATGTCACCCGCTTAGCTTCCTGCAGAGACCCGCAGGTTTCCACGGTGACACGGATGGAAACATTGAAAGGGCACGACCCCGCCCGGATTGGCAGGTTTCTATGGTGACACGGATAGAAACATTGAAAGGGCACCATGTCTCCGCCCAGATTTGTGAGTTTCCATGGTGACACGGATGGAAGCCTTGAAAGGGCATGTCTCCGCCCAGATTGGCGGGTTTCCATGGTGACACGGATGGAAACATTGAAAGGGCACCATGTCCCAGGCCCGATTCCCAGGTTTCCATGGTGACACGGATGGAAACCTTGAAAGGGCATGTCCCCGCCCGGATTTGCGGGTTTCCATGGTGACACGGATGGAAACATTGAAATGGCATGTCTCCGCCCAGATTGGCGGGTTTCCATGGCGACACGGATGGAAACATTGAAATGGCATGTCTCCGCCCAGATTGGCGGGTTTCCATGGCGACACGGATGGAAACATTGAAATGGCATGTCTCCGCCCAGATTGGCGGGTTTCCATGGCGACACGGATGGAAACATTGAAATGGCATGTCTCCGCCCAGATTGGCGGGTTTCCATGGCGACACGGATGGAAACATTGAAATGGCATGTCTCCGCCCAGATTGGCGGGTTTCCATGGCGACACGGATGGAAACATTGAAATGGCATGTCTCCGCCCAGATTGGCGGGTTTCCATGGCGACACGGATGGAAACATTGAAATGGCATGTCTCCGCCCAGATTGGCGGGTTTCCATGGCGACACGGATGGAAACATTGAAATGGCATGTCTCCGCCCAGATTGGCGGGTTTTCATGGTGACACGGATGGAAACATTGAAAGGGCACCATGTCCCAGGCCCGATTCTCAGGTTTCCATGGTGACACGGATGGAAACCTTGAAAGGGCATGTCCCCGCCCAGATTCTGGTTTCCATAGTGACATGCATGGAAACATTGACAGGGCATGTCCCTGCCCAGATTGGCGGGTTTCCATGGTGACAAGAATGGAAACATTGAAAGGGCACCATGTTCCAGGCCTGGATTCCTGCGTTTCCATGGTGACAAGGATGGAAACATTGAAAGGGCACCATGTTCCAGGCCTGGATTCCTGGGTTTCCATGGTGACAAGGATGGAAACATTGAAAGGGCACCATGTTCCAGGCCTGGATTCCTGGGTTTCCATGGTGACAAGGATGGAAACTTTGAAAGGGCACGTCCTGGCCCAGCTTTGCGGCCTGTGCCTGATGCCCCCGGCCTGAGACCCCGGCACGGGAGGCAGCTGGCGGCCTCTGCCGCCTCGTCCCTCACGGCAGCTGGGACGTGGACCAGCCTCGTCAGCAGGACACTGCTTCCCGCTCCGGGGCCGCTCGGACGGTGCCCGGCCCAGAGGGGTGTCCCCAGGTCTGAGAGTGGCCGTGTCTTTCTCTTCTTTGGTCTCTGACGAGCACACAGCCCTCTGTGGTGCAAGTGATTTTCTTGTCTAGTAGCAGTTCCGCTTTTGACTGGCCTCTGCATGTGCCCCCCGACCCACCGCGGGGCCCCCGAAACACAGGCCCGGCCTCGGGCTGCACCGTGGGCCAGTCCGTGGAGGGGAAACTGTTACTCCACAGGCCACTCTGGTTGTTTTCTGTGCCTGTCCATTTATGCAGATGAAGAAGTTTTAGTAAGACGTTTTTAGCTATAGTTACTCAATTGTGTTTTCTTTTTTGTACCCAGTTTATCTTTCATAGCATTGACCTTAGGCGGGCCTCCCATTGTGCTGGCGGGCGCTGCCCGGACCACCGCGGGACTGACTCTGCCGCTGCCGCCCCTCACTGGCTGGAGGCGAACCTGAGCCCGGGCCAGGTCCCGGCCGTTCCTGTTGAGTAGACCAGGCCCAGCAGTGAGACGGGGCCCGCCCCCCTCCCCCGTAGATGGCTAGTGTTTGCGGCATTTCATATTTATACGCACGCGTTTTTATTTAAAGGACAGCAGGAGCCCGACTCTGACTCAGTTTTGCATGTAGCTGTGTGCCCGGCCCTTGGTACCTTCCCGGCCTCCATGAATGGATGGCGAGTGCAGGTTTGGCACAGGGCGTCCTCGCCCTGCCCGGCTGGGAGGGCCACCTGACAGCAGCCGGTCCCTGGACGAGGCAGTGTCCACCCGCCAGCCAGGGGCTGAAGACATTCGGCCTTTATTTTTGTATTTCGGTGACATGAATGTAAACGGGACAGCTCAGGGTCGTTTGGAGCCTGTTGAGTTTTTATCTGCCTGTGATTTCTTTTCTTTTTAAGTGATACTCGTGTCACAGCCTGGACTACATCGAGAAGGAAGACGCCGGTGTTTTGGGTGTCGCGCCCCCAGCATGCTGGGGGCCAGAGTTCCAGGATGCTTTTTTGTTTGCTAAACTTTGAAGAAATATGTGCCTCAGTCTAGAAGTTTTGTCTTCTCTCCTCTGCACGTGACACCTGGCAGTTTGACCAGCCGTCTCACCTTTCAGGGGTGGGACTCGCTCGCAGGAGTTTGATGTCGGCGAGCGCGGTCCGGCGTGCAGAGGCGCAGGGACAAGCTCTACTCATGTGCTTTGCTCCTCTGTACATAGCTCCTCAGCTCATGAACCTAAGTATACACTTTCAGGTATTTTTGTACCAATAAGGGACTGGTGATCTGTTTCTTGTAATTTGAAATAAACATTAATAAACATACAGTGTTCTTCATTTTCCATGGTGTGTGCTGTCTCTTTATTTTGAACGCCGCCAGCTGGTCAGTAGCTGAAACTCTTTAGAAGTGAGGTAGGATGATGACAGCGTGCCTCCTGGCACCGGGCAGGGGGTGGGCGAGTTCCTGGGCCCCACGGAGTCTGGGTCTCAGGTCAGTCACCAGGCTGAGTGGGCCCGTGCCGGTCCCCACGGGTGCTGGACAGCCCAGCGGGCCTCCTGCAACCCTGGCGTGGGGCCGGCCCTGGAGGCGCCAGGCGCCTTCTCCACTCGGGGTTCGCCGGCACCTCACGGGCCCATCCGCACTCCCATCTGACAGCTACCCCAGTGGCACAGGTCACACGGCTGTGGCCTCACCTGGGGCGCGATGTGCTTCCGGTCGCCCACCCCACCCACGCAGAGAGGGTGCAGTCCTGTCACCGCGGCCTTGCCCACCCCCAGGAGCTCCCTGGGGCATCACGGCCCTCCTGTCCTTGTTTTCGGGAGGGTCCTCTGCGCCTGCAGCTCGCCCTTCTGTGGCCCCCGACCTGCGCCCGGCCCGAGCCTCCATCTCCCTCCCCAAGGCTCACCGTCCATCCTGGCCCTGCCCCAGGTCAGGCTGGTGCCCTGCCCTCACCCGCACACTCCCGGGCGGCGGTCCGTCCTCACTTCCGTGTCTCCGCCAGGTCTCCACGTGCCTGGCTGCCCGGGGCCTTCCTTTCAGAGCCGCACTAACCCTCACCTGTCCTGGGGAAAGTCCGAGGGAGCTGAGGAGACGGTTACATGGAAAAAGAATGCGCATCCCTGCGGGAGTGGGCAGGTGGGAGGTCGGGCGAAGAGACTCCTAACCAAGGGCCTGAGCCTAAGAAATAACGAGCGGACATCCCCGTGGCCTCGAGACGGCTACAAAAACGCCCTCAGCTTTAAGGGGCCAAAACAAGGAGGCCCCGACCGGTGGGGGAGCCAGGGTGTCCCTGAGGTAGGAACGGCCGGCCGTTCCAGAGGAGCGCCCTCCCCGCTGAGGCGCGTGCGAAATGCCCATAGACTCGACACAGACAGCCTGCCTGTAAGCTCTTTCTTAACCTGCCGCACAGGCGGACCCACAGCCCAACCACCGGGCACAGCACAGTCCAAGCTCAGCCGCTGGCAGGCACTGGGCCGACGGTGCTGACCCGGCCTCCAGGGTCACAGTCAGACCTGGAGAGAGTGGGGCATTGCTCGTGCCCCAGGAAACCATGCATCTGAGTTCTTCTCTTTCCTAACCCTCACCGGAGGCTGTTTTTTCCATTGATTTTTATTCGTTTTTAGAGAGAATGGAAGGGAGGGAAGAGGGGGAGAGAGAGAGAACTTTCGATGTGAGTGAGACCCAGCGATGGATTGGTTGCCTCCTGCACGCGCCCTGACCAGGACCAGGGATGGAACCTGAAGCTGAGGCCCTTGCTCTTGATCAGGAATGGAACACGCAACCCTTCTGTCTGCGGGCCAGCACTCCAACCACTGAGCAACCTGCCCAGGGCCACCTGAGTTCTTACCACAGCTTCACCTGTGCCACAGGGAGACTTTCAGGGAGGACTTGGGGGCGAGGGCCTGCAATGAGCCTCAGGCGGCATCCTGCAGGGTCGGGTGGCTTTGGTCTGCCCTGACCTTGCATTTCTCCCCTTAAAGGTCACCTGGGACCCAGGCCACCATAACCCAAACCTAAGAGGCCAAATGCCAGAGATGAGAGGTGGTGCCCTGGGGGCGGGTGGGTCAGCTGCCTGTCTTCGCATGAGGCTGCAGCTGCCAGCCGATGCCTCTGCAGCTCAGACGCTCCGGGGCGTGGTGCTCAAGGGTCACGTCACACGCCACTGGAGCTGCCCACGTGGGCGCTCCCACCTGGCGGCACCGGGAGGCAGGGTTAACCCTGGGGCCGCCCTGGAGGGCGCGGGGGAATCTAAATGCAGAGCTGCAGGCGGCCAAGGACAAGGGTCCCGCAGGACCGGCCACGCAGCACCCCCTCGGGCTGGGGATCCGCCCCCCGTGCCGCCCCCTCACACCGGTTCCTTAGGGGGGGCGTCCGCTCAGCAGTGGGAGACGGGCTGCGTTTGAAAGCGCCCCAGCCCCACGTGCGCGCACAGCTGGACCCTCGCGGCCCGAGGCTGCGGGTTGAGGTGTAGGATCGACAGAACCTCCTGGGGGTTTCTCACGGGGTCTGTTTGGGTCACGAAAAGTCTCAAGTTTCTACGAAGCGGGGACCTGAGGTCCGCACACTGTCGGCCCTGCGAGGCCCTGGCTGGGCACTGCCCGGCACTGCCCGCCCGGGAAATGGGCACGCAGTTCGCGGGGGCGAGGCTTTATCACACCAGAGGTTAATGTTTAACCAGCTGATGAGGCTGAAAACCAGGGCCCAGGGCTGTGTGGGTGCGCAGCTCTGGGCAGACCTGCGTGAGCTCCAACTCAGGCTGCTGGCCGCCACCCAGCCCCCCGGCCCGCTCTCCCGACGGGGCAGACGCCGCAGGGACAGGACTCCGGCGGTGAGTCTCCCTGTTGGTCCTAGTGGGGCGGTCGCCACGGGAAAGGGCAGCACCCGTGACTTGACCCCCGCTCCACAGCACAGAGCGCCTGCTCCAGGGTGAATTCCGCTGCGGGCAGGGCTGGCGGCTGCGCTCCATGCGCTGGGGGCCGGTGGCGGGCGGCAGTGGCCGTCCCTGCTGTTGCCCATCTGACCAGTGGGTGCCGGGCGTGATGGCACAGACCGGACCCGCCCAGTCCTGCTCCTCTCTACCTCTTCCCCCCACAGGCCTGTAACGGGGCTCCCGGGCCTGGCTCTCCCTCGGGGAAGCAGCGGGTGTTGCCCTAACCGGTTTGGCTCAGTGGAAAGTGGGTGGTAGTAGTTGTCTGCGGACTAAATCCCAGAGTCTGGACAACATCCAGCTCGTGGGAGACGATGAGTAAATGTTACGACTCCCCTCGCCTTCGGTACAAACCACAGGGCCACCTGCTCCCGTGTTCCTGAGACCTGTTCCCGTTTCCGGTGATGCCGGCAGGCCAGCGGGCCCCACACCACGCACTAGGCCAGTGGTTCTCAACCTTCTGGCCCTTTAAACACAGTTCCTCATGCTGTGACCCAACCATAACATTATTTTCGTTGCTGCTTCATAACTGTCATGTGGCTACTGTTATGAATCATCATGTAAATATCTGATACGCAGGATGGTCTTAGGCGACCCCTGTGAAAGGGTCGTTCGACCGCCAAAGGGGTCACGACCCACAGGTTGAGAACCCGTTGCCTTGATGGCTCGTGCTG